TTTGGAGCCCTAATCCCAGTGCCTTCTCAGCCATGCTGGCTCCCCAGCTAGATGCCTGCCACATCCTGCCACATCCGGCGGCAGAACTCATGTCATTGATTTGGCCACACCCTTCAGAGACTATAAAATTCTTAAATAGTTTTCAACTAATTATTCCAGGATGCCTGAGGTATACCTTTTGCTATCATATAACATGCTTCTTAACAATTATCCCACGAACTGCTGAGTTCTAGGAATAATTTCTGAAATCCATCTGGAAGGTACCAGGAATAATACTTTATTATTCCTGCCGGTATGGAGGGTATAGGTATGCTAGGGTCTAGGGTATAATAAATACATATGAGTTGGACCGTCATCCATTAGACCCAACACTATAGGCACTGGCACTTGTTGTATTGGTTTCTTGTTGCGCCATCGCCGACCCATCGGTGCGTGGCAACCGTCGCTCGAGTCAAACGAATTACGAGCAGAGCTGCGAGGTCTTCGAGCCGGACTCTTCGTATAGTCTTAGACCGAAACAAACAAATGGCATCATAAGACCCCATCATGACAACCATGGTATACGACTGGGGCAGTTCTTTTCGGTACGAACTGAGACATCCACCAGGTGTGTGTGTGTGTGTGTGTTTTAATACGGGAGACTCCGAAAGGCCTCCGTTGGAAGAAGGAAACGAAGGCTGAAACCCGGTTGAGGGGGTTCGTTCTGTGAATTGTCTCAATGACAGTGGAGCTCTTGAAAGGAAAGTCGTCTTCCATGTGATCCATGGCCATGACGCCATGCCGGCCAGTTCCATCGGGGCGTAGATTTGTTTGGCTTTTACACACTGAGAGTTCTCATGGCGAATGACCAGGGAATGGAGGCTAAGCCTGGACTATGGTCTAGACGTCTTATATAGTGGTCTTAGGTCGAGGAGAACTCGAGTTTCAGGAAAGTTGTATAGGTCTATCTTGGATTTGCAGACGAGTCACCAATGACTGCTAGCAGTTGCAGGTGTTGAGACCCGCATCAAACTACAAGGACTCGTTCTTTACACTGAACTTCAAGGCAACAAACCAGAAGCCTTTGAAAAAAGTCTGCTCAAACCCTAAGCCAGAAGCCAGGAGCTCAAATACCTCGCGTTGCATGGAATTTTGGGTAAAGAACGGCGTGGACGGATGAAACTTCATAAGGGCCTCAGATATGATGTCCACAGTGCCGTTGTTCCGTCAGCTGTTTTGCCGGGACACCTCGACTGGCCTGGACAGTGACGGTGAATCTCTCATCGTGTGCCCAGCTCCGCCCGTTAGGAGATTGGATGTACTTCCTGCTTGGGTGAAGGGCTTTGTTTTGAGAGAAGGATGCACCTGCAGTACATTCTAATAGGATCTAATTAATAGGTAGTTGATACTCCAAACCTATCCAAAGCTTGTGTACCCATGTTCATCACCGGCTTTGACACTTGGAGTAAAACTTACGTGGGTGACGTGGTACAAGCGTGTTGCCCAGCTGAAGCCCTGAAACCATGTTTCTGCATCTTCTCCTACGCAGTCTTCATGTGGAATCTACACCCTTCCCTCAACTTGGATAATCTGCATCAGTCGACCTGTAGACTATCCCGTAGGCTCCATGTACCTCCTTTTCGGATGGCCGTGGCGGGGTCGACGCACGAGTCGATCCAGTTCGAATGGTCGAAGTGACCGGGGTCGTTCGCGACCACGTGTGGATTCATCAACCCCCCCTACCATGATGGGTCCTAGGGGGCTGGCCCATCTCAGAAGGTGGTATTCGACCCCCCTGGAACTCCTGGCCCACCTTCTCAGGAGGTGGGACAGGAGCCCTAGGGCTTTGTCCTCCAAAAATCCTAAAAACCATCCTGCAGAATCACCGGGCGCCCACACCTCCGGCGGAACCGCTGGGCCACGGCGGAAGGAACGAGTCGATGGGAGTCACCCTTTGGAGGTCGAAGACGAACGGGCCACGGAATCCTTTGTGGCCGTGTCGTTTCGGCTTCGTGGCCGTGGTGCCAGAGGAGTTGTGGGATTGAGAGTGCCAACACTGCTCATCTGAGACGCTTTTTTTTGAGAGCGAGCTGCGGAGGAAGCTGGTTTTTTGTTGACACTTTTAGACGTACTTGTGTGTTTTCCATGCAGGGTCACTTGTTTGATCCTTTTGTTCCATGATCTTTTGAACATCATGGCCCATCCGTGATGGTTCTTTAGGTGGGTCTTGCAAGTGTGCAACTGATCCAGTCATAGCTTGATAGAATCTAGAAGGTACGACTGGAACCTCCTGGCACCTACGTACTGTAACAGTGTCTCCAATCACCCTACCTCAGGGGGTATGTGGATCCTTAAGGAGTAGGCAAGGGAGTTACGGTATTAGCACGATTTTAGATGGAGCAAACGACCCAATTCTAAGGGAACCTTCCGTGGCCAAGATGAAGCCACTGGCCCACGAGTGACTTCCGGAGCGAGGCCGTTTAGTAAGCACAGGACACAGATGACCGGAGAAAAAATGGTGCAGATCGATGCCAAGCAAAACCGCCCGCCCGCCCGCCCGCGCAGCAGTTGGTATAGCTGGAGCATCAGCCGTGGGCAGGTCATGGCATGCGACCCTGGGGGTTTTGAGCATATAGGTGCTTTGGACCCTGTCAATCTGGCCAGCAGGTGGCCTAAGTGGTGCAGAACCACCCTGGCCTGCGACCATTTTGATAGGTGGCTGGGTCGCTGATCTGTTCTAAGAGTAAAACTGTGGATCCTTTAAAGTCTCTTGCTTGGTAAGCGACTTTAGTCTCATCCACTGGAATCCAGTGAATGGATGATTGGCAAAAGGTATTTTTGGACACCCCAAACAGGGGGCCCTGGTAGAGGGGATACCCCCCCCCGTGTACCAAATCAACCAACAGGTCGACAGGTACCAAAACATAATCCTTGGGCTCTCCATGGCAGTGGTCCGACCCGACCATGAGACGGAGGGGGAGCAAGGGCCCGAACCGTTCGCGCTTCTCATTCCCTAGGGATCCAGTCGTACCGAAGCTCAGAAGGTGATTGGCACTATTGTGTAGGTGCCAAAACGTCAGGTCCAGTCGTACCGAAACTGAGGTTCGGTACGAAAACGGATCCCTAAGGTGTTTGGGATGGCTAGGAGGGTCCAGTCATACCGAACCTGAGGAGGCACAACTGGAGCCCTATAGGGCGCTATAGGGTAGGGCCATGGTCTTATTCCTCTTAGACGACATCTCTCAGTCTCACCAGCTGCGGGACGGCTCTCGCCAGGCGGCGAGGTCGTACGGCTTCCCGACTGGAGGTGCGAAGCCGGGTGGTGGGTCGAATGGGGAAGTGGCGAAGCTAAATGCCAATGACTCCTTGGAATTGGCTTGAAAGCCAATGCATGTCAGGAAGGCTTCACCATTCCGAGGATTGAGGATTGTAGAGAGTATAGACAGTTTAGACACATGAAACCGTCGTTTTTTTGGGGCTCATTCCTGAGAATCTTCCAATTGTTGAAGTAGAGTAGTAGCTCGGCGAAGCTCAGTGGGATGGATGCACTGGGTGGAAGATTTTCCCATGTGAGAGGACCAGTTGGGTGTATAGTGGTGTGGTGTACCAGTGTGCCTCTAAGGGGTGTCCTGTTTGGAAGCCTAGTGGGGTGGTGTGGGGTAGTCCAGCCAGGACACCCCGACAGGAGGGTCCTGGTATAGTGTGCCTCAGTTATCACAGGATGCGCCGGAACTTTTGCAAGCAAAGGTCGGACAAGATGGATGACCGGAATGCCTCGTTGCCCAAGAAATACAATAAACACGCTTGTGTGTGATGCCCATGTCCTCCATTTCCACGCACTCTTCCGTTTTGCTCGAGGGCCACACTAAATTGTCAAGTTGATCCTAGTTGAGACCATAGATGAGTTCAGTTCAACCCAGCCATCGGGTCGAGAAGGGGCGGACAGTGAAGGTCTGGAGTTCGGAAGGAACTCTTGAGACCCGGTTCCACGTACCGAAAATGGGTGCAGTCGCACCTGTTTTTGTGCCTACGAGTCCATTCCGACCCAGTAAGTAAAAGCATGTTTTAAACCTCCAAACGAGGAGTGTTTGTGTACGACCAACTCGAGTATCTCATGAGGTCATTGACTTGTAGCGGATAGGGGCATGTTCCATTTAAAAAAAGGTACGAATCGAACGACGTCGGTACTATAGGAACTTGGAACTCCTGAAAACTCTTGCAAGTTGGAACGCATCTTTGACCTGGATATGTTCAAGAGCGTGTCAAAGGGACGTTACCCTTTTTTGTCATGTGTGTGTTAATATATATTAGTATTAGTTTGTTGGTTAACCTTACCCTACAGATCAGTTTGACCTCATTCTATACTAAAGTTGAACATACAATATCATCACTATACTTACTACTCAGTGAGGCAAAAGGACCAGGCTTTACTGGGTTTTTGGACTTGTAGGGCTAAGCATCCCGGCCCTTCTCCAATGGGAAGGGTTAGGTTCGGGTCGGGACCATGCTTTGTGAACATCAGCTTCATGCGGTACAGGGTCTGATTCCTCCATATACTTCAGGTATATGAGGCTCCAGGGTTGCGTCGTGGTATGTCTTGAGAGTCAAGCTGCTGTGTTCGAGGCAGTTTCGTGGCGGAGCCTTTTCATGATGGCGCGGGCACCTAGGGGAATGCTGGTTCTCACCTATAGACTGTTAAGTTGAGAAGCGAAGCTAGTGGCCCAACATACAAGATCCACACCAGCACTTTGCAACAGGTCTCCAAAATGGAAGCTTTTGCAGGCATAAAAGTCGCAGGTAGTGACCTGTTGGAGGATGCTGGCATTTGGCTGGCTTTATTGGAATTCTAGGTCATATATATTTCCATGAAGCCTTTAGGTGAGCCTGCATGGCATTTTGACATGTTCTCCCCAAGCAGAGCAAAGACTTGTCCAGCAGGCTTCTGTGGATTATTGTGGACTACTCTTGGATGTTGGATCGTATTTTTGTGGTGCGAGTGTTTTCAGGGACTACTCTTGTTCAATGCGTCGGCCTGAAAACACTTCGAGCTCCCAGAAGTCCGCAGGATGCTCTTCAGGTCTTCCCTTCTTCGATGCTCGACCGACGGGTACGGGGCGGGGTCGACGGGGCGTCCGGACGTCGCTCGGGCTGCGTCGGCCTCCCGTCGACCGAGACTTGGACCGGGCTACGGGTTCAAACAACAACGACCGGACGACCGGACGTGGGGTTCTTTGGGTCCTCCCAGTCTAGAGGATTCCGAGATATCCTATAGATGTTCGACCATCCCATAGGTACACCCGTAGGGTTCTAGTTCAGGTCACTTAACCTCTGAGTTTAGTCCACCTTTGGGACCGAAACCGCCCAGGGTCCCTGGTCCAAAACACCTCGACCGCACCGAACACGGGAGGTGGGCGGCCAGGCCGGGAGGATTTTAGCATGGGTTGGATTTGGAGGAAAAGAAGATGGGAAAACACACAACCTCAAAACCCGGTCTCAACCGGAAAGCACATGGAAACTCGGTCTCGCAACCGGAAAGCACATGGATGTTTCCCCCAGTCCCAACTGTTTCTGGTTTGGGACCAGGTTTCCAGAATCTGATATCAACTCTGCAGTGTCGGGGTTGCCCAAGACAAATGAAGCCCGACTTTCAGTCTTGAGTTGAATCATTTCTGAATCCTTGCAACACCTGTTGCTAGAAAGACCAAACCAGACCATTTATTCAGGAGGTAATTTTTAGCACCCAAAAAGCAATCCTTTGGGATATAGTACATCGATTATTATAGTACTTCAGCACATGACTTCAGCCATCGACTACTACGTGAGGCCGTTTTTGTGTTTTGCCGAAAAGGGACGCCTGCAAGAGAGCCTTTCAGCTGCGGGCTTGCCCGAACCGAGGTCAACCCGCCTATTCCAGTTCCTCACGGAGGCCTGAATCCAAATGGGTTAGTAAGACTTCGGGACCGACCGCAAGTATATGATGTGAAGAAGGAATATACGCAGACCTTCAGCGCGCACGCGCGCGCGCGTCCTTGTGCACGCTGGCTTCCTCACCGGAAATAGGCGTCTCTTCTGGGCAAGAAAAAGCCGCAAAAACGCGGAATTTAGGTTTTTGTTTGGCACTTTTGCGGCAGCAACCGCTGTAAATACCGATGGTTTTCAGCTATCAGGTGCCCACAAACGCGGTGTTTTTATGCGGTATGATTTTTGCTCGATGTTTTCTGTCTTTTTTGTGCGATGGTATTCATCGCGCTTGGTGGCGAAAAAAAGCCTCTCCCCACCCAGCTCAAGGACTTTGATGCATTTCTCCTTTTGCCGATTTTTGAGTCGCTTAAGATCCAAAAACGGCTCGAAATGCGGGCGAGAGTGCCGTTTTGTAAGGCCATGTGTAAAAAAACACTGCAAAGCATAGGGTCGGCGCCAGGGGACGCACCTGGGGTAGCAAGCTAGCCGTATTACACAACGGCCCCAAATTCAGCACATCCATTTGTTCATGTGTTCGATCAAAAGGTTGCCACTGCATGTCAGCAACATCGCACACGCGAATATTGTTATTTTTCGCTTGCAGCCTCGCTAGAAGCTTGTCGACCCTGTGGCAGCAAACACTGTAAATACCGATGGTTTTCAGATCAAGTCCTCTCACACGCGGTATTTACGATGTTTTTTAAGGGCTTCACTCAAAAGCATTATATTTAGTGTTTTGCACGCACGCTCCTTCAAAAGTGTGAGTATTTACGCAGTTTTTGCAGCATTGCAACACAGTGTTAATGAAACAAAATGAGTGCTTAAAAAAACACTGTAGTTTACAGTGATTTTGCACCTTGGCGCGTTCCGCCCAAAACCGTCCTCAAAAGGCCCAACATTTGCTCCCTTCCGGACGAGTCTCGTGTGAAAGAATGCCGAACGAGGCCAAGGACTAGGGTGGAAGTGGCATCGTGAACCAGCTGCTGGGGAAATCGATTGCGCCTGAGACCTGAAATCGTCCACCTTGGCCGCATCTTCGAAGCGTGCTACGAGAAGGGCACTGAGCTTCAACAGGACAATCTTCTGCGGAAGTTCAAAGGCCGAACTGTTTTTGAAGGAAACAACGTTCGCGATGAAAACAGCGACCATGCGCATGCGCTTTTCAGTGAACTTGGTTCATCGCCTGCTTCCATGGAGGCAGCCAAAATCCTTGACGCTTTTGGAAGCCAGCTCGGCTACGCCAAGCAGCAAGCGGATGTTCCTGGTGCCCATGTGGATCTCGCAAAAACAGATGGCCCAAGGCATGGAAGGTAATTCCAGAACCCAGTCGCTCCTCTAGTTCTTGCTCTCTATGGCCAACCATATAGCGGAGGAACCTGGGAAAGACACTCGAATAGCTGCCTCAACTCAAAGGGATGGGCCCAGGTCTTGCCAGACGGTTTGGCCAAAACATATTTTATCGTGAAGGCCTCAAGGCCTTGTGGTTGGTGGTGTATGTTGACGACTTCAAGTTGGCGGGTCCCGCTGAGAACCTCAAGAAAGGATGGTCCCTCATCAAGGAGGCTATCGACATTGGCGAGCCCGAGGCATCGCCGGAATGGAGTGGAGCCTCATCACCCCTCGGGCCTGCGTTTTTCGATGTATTTTCCAATTGTTTGAAAGGTGTTTTGATGTTGATTGGGTTCAAGTTGTTTTCACAGGCCCGTGGTGCGAGTTATGCTGCACAAGTTGCCTTGCATTATCAGCAATGTTTGCGTTTGGTTGTCGTTTCCTTTTGCTCTTCCAGAGACAGGGAAAAGGAAGAGAAAGAGAAAAGAGAGGAGAACGAGAAAGAGAAAGAGTAAAAACAATAGAAACATAAAGAGGAAGAAAGGAAGAGAAAGCAAACAAAAGAAAAGAAGAGAACGAGGAAGAGGAAGAGAAAGGCGAAGAGGAAGAGGAATTGAACGAAACAAAAGGAAGAAGAAGAGGACAAAGGAAAAACAAGAGTAAGATAAAAAAACAACAGGATAAGGATAAGGAAGAAAAACAAGAAAACAGTAGGAAGAGAAGAAGAGAAAGTGGAAAAAAAAACAGGGACGTAAGAACAAGAGGAAGGGAACAAATACAAAAGATGCAGATAAAGAGAAAAATCAACAACAAGAGTAAAACAATGATAAAGAACAAAACAAAGAGGAAACAAAAAAAACACAAAAACAATCAGAGAAAAAGGAACATGCATGAGACATCTTCGTTCGGTGCTTCGCCGGCCCAAACGTGATCCGGCTGGCCCGAATCCTCTGGAGGGGTCTGCAGGCCTTAAGTCTTCGGAGCGTGGGATGGTGGGATGGAATCCTTCAGAGACGACCCCCATCCTTCTGCGCCAGCTTCGTTCCAGGCCTCCGGAGCGAAGCAACGACGAGAGGCGCAGCCGCGAGGGTCGGAAGGTCGGTGCGGGCCCAGGCTACCAAGACGTTTTGCATGACTTGGTGGGCTGACTGGACAATGGACTTCTTGTGAAGGAGAGACTCCTTTTCCTTTCGTTTTTTTGCCAAGCGACAATCGCTTCCTACCCAGGGATGTGGCTTTAAATCTCCAAGCCTTCCTTCAAACACCATCGTGACTTCAGGGTTGCAATGGAAACAAAGGCCATTCTTCGCCAAGTTTTTTGTCCTCCTACTTGCGTGGGTCAATATGTGTAAACATGGGGACTTGTCACTATTGAAAAGGCAGAGACCTCGCTTACTCCTGTTTTTGTTGATCAATCTTCTGCAAAGCAATTGCTGGTTGGTTAGTTGGTCAGTTGCTTGGGCTCTGTGGCCAACTGGACACAGAGCTTGTTGAAAAGTCGAAGGTGATGAGTGCAAACTTGGGGCCAAGTGGCTTCCATCTCCTTTTGGACTGCATTGCCAGCGTCAAAGCCAAACCAAACCCTAGGCTTCCAACCACCATTAGTTTAATTGGCTCTACCAAATCAACTAAGGATTTTACTCTACAAACACCAGGTCAACCATATTCTTTTTAATGGTCTTGGAAGTCTAGGCCAAAGGAAGCGCAGAATTGGGTTTCTGAGTCCTCGAGTCTCCCAAGTCGTGCGTGGCGGGTTTGCGCCTTGGCTTTCCTTCTCGGGTGGGACGGAATCCATGAACTTTCTTGGTGGTGATCTATCCCTTAAAAACGGTGGATACAGTGGTGATCTACAGACGATGAAGGGGACGATGGCCTTTTTTCAGCGGACATGGTAAAAGGAAGAAGCAGCTATAAGCACCTTCTTTGGACTTCGTCGCAACTCAAGTCAACCACCTCAACCGAAGAAAAAGGTCCATGCCACGGGGCCCCCACTTTGGGGACCGGAAGGGTAGTGGGGAGGATTCAGCCAGCCATGCCAGGAGTTGGCTGCTAGGGACCCTTGGGCGAACAATGGGTCAGTCTGGGGCATGGGGCGGCCCGTGGACCAACGGTGGACCAAAGCAAACTCAGAAATGGAAGGCCAGGTGCATGACATTGTGAAGACCAGGTGTGCAACGCTGAAGTCCTTCGTGGAACAATTGATGCGGGAGGTGTTCTCTCCCACACCACACCACCTCGGGGCTCAGACTTCACCAGAGGGGTCGCAGATTCCATTGTGCGAATCAAAAGCGGTTGCATTTCCTGAGATATTTCCTGGCAAGATATGGTAAGATGTGTCTTTGAGGTGCCGAGAGGTCCATCTTTATTTGTTCTGAGACCGGCTTGGTGGTGACCTACTCAGGAAAAATTCGTAATTAGACAACCTTTCACAGACCTTTTTTGGGAAGTGATGGGAATGGTTTCCCTGATCAACAAGAATATATAGGTGGAAGAAGGTTAACCCGCATTCTCCAGGGAAACTCATGGGGTCAAGAAGTAGTCATGGGAGACCGCAGAGAAAAACGCTGGGCATTGGTGCGCTCACCAGTATGGTATTTGTTCCTCAAGAGGCCCTGCAGGTGACCAAAACCACCGGGCAGCCCGGGCAGCCCTGCAATCGATTTGTTCGACCTCACATCACAGACTTCGTGGACTCGACCTCGGTGTCCCACTCTTTGATACTCTGCAGACTTCGAGCCATGCGTGCCGTGTTCGCCCTCGGTGGAAGGTCTAGAGGAGTGGAAGGCAGCGGGCAGATGGGGTGGGAAGATCAGGGCTTTGGTATCTTTGGTCTTCAACAGTTATTTTGGGTTAAATTCTACTATATATTATCCACTTCCCTGAAGTATTTATGGAAGTGGATGGCATAGGGTGTTGGAATCCTGGAAGGCAAGTTGTCTCTACTATGTACCCTGCTGAAAACTGCATTCTCAGCGTCAAAGTTAACTTTCGGGACTGTACCAACAAGTGGTGCACCATCCGCTTCCAAGTTCAGACTCGGAGAATAGATTTAACAGTTGAACGATTCTGTCTACGTTGTTGATCATCGTAAACCCCCCTCCACTCGTTCCACTCCGAGTTGGTCATGCTGGATAATGGGGAACAAAGCACACGGGCTTTGATGATAGGGGTTCATGATTTGGATGCCCTAAGAATCCTTTGGCCCTCCATGGCAGGTCGGACCCTCCATAGCAGGCGTTTGGACATGTCTGGACTCCGTTTGGACCCTCAAAACCCTATGTGTTCAAGGGCGCGGATCCTCAGGATGATGGGAATTCAAGAGTTCATGTATGAGAAGACCCTCTTCCCCTCCCGTGCCCAAAAACTGAGCCGGACCCCCATCGGGCGCCAGAGAACATATGAACCCCATCTGGTTCCCGTCGTCGAGCTGCTTTTGTGAGTGTGAAACAAATGTCAACATCCGTTTTTGGGGGATATTAAACCTTCGGCCAAACCGGGAACGTACACAATGAACAAACCTGGGGTTGGGTGACGCACCCAACTTTGAGCGCAACACCCCATGCCCGATGGCCAAGTACTTCAGATACTTCTTGAGGTATGGTGTTGAAGAGCTTTGTGGAATATAATGTAGTCCCTTTGTGGGATAAATCCAGGGACCACATGATGTGTTTTTCTTCAATTTTCACAGTGGCATTCAGATCGAAGGGGTCGCTGTAGTCACTGGTGTGTTTTTTTTTTCATCCGAGGCAGTGAATGAGAGTAAAGGGTGGACAGAATTCACCTAAGCTCCTTTTGGAAATTTGTCTCAAAGAAACCCAACTTCTATGATAGTTGCAGTTCTGCACACGTGCAGTGTTCTGCGACCTTGTTAACCACTCCCAAAACCTCCGTGCGAATTACCACTCCCAGTTGCGACCGACCTGACTGAGCTAGGCCCATCAGGTCCTCACTTGCATGACCTGGAGATCCGAGGTGGGCCGCACCGAAGCAACGGCTCCCCCGCTCTCCACCCGGTCGTCGACGCGGCATTCGACGCGCATCGGCGCGTGTGCTTACGCTGTGTTTTTCAGAGCTTCGTTTGCGTGTATTTCCAACAGAGGTTCAGTGACCTGGACCCGTAACCAGGGGTACCTATAGGATAGTCTATAGGGTTCTTCAACCTCTGCGTGTATGTGGCGGTTTTCACCCGGAAAGGTACCTCACACAATCATGGAACGAGTCGTAGCTGTTGTTGGTTCGGGTCATGTACAATTTTTCAAGGTACGAGCGAGGTCAGGTCTAGGTACACTCCTTCAAACAAAACTTTGACTAATTGAAGAAAGGAGGACCGTGAAATCTACCAAACAGGAGGATTTCGCTTTACTTCCACGATGCTTTCACGGAGAGTATCCCGTGTTTGGGAATGTTTGGGATCTATATTATATCTTACGTTTCTGGAAGTTTCAACTGGAGGCGGTTGTTCCGGGTCTTGCAAAACCCACTGAAGACGCAGTTTTGGATGTGTAGTCCACCTCAACCATGCCCCTTTTACAGCTCTTGAAAACCTTATACAGCTCTTGAAACCTCAGCCAAGGAGTTAAAGATCTCTTGAGATCAAGAAGCCCATTCAAAGAGAATCCCATTCCTCTTTTCCTAGATGTATTCCAAGCAAAAGGGAGGATAGTCCCTGGGCATGACCGGATCTTCAGCATCTTCTATTTTTGTTCCCTAAGAATCCGGACCCCTGCTATGGAGGGTCCGACCCCTGCTATGGAGAGCCCAAGGATTCTTAGGGTTTAAGCAGTTCATGTTAATTCGGCCCAACCCAACTCCGGAATCGGCTCCAGCGACCTGGCCATCACGGATCGTCGCGACATCAGTCGCGACTTCGTCGGGAAGTACGCGACCCCGAAAAACCGCCTTTGGTGGAACCCTTGGAAAACTGCGTGATCTGGCTTGGCAATTGTAAAATCCTGTAAGTAAACAGACAGCAAAACCATATCAAAGCATCGTTTGGTTAAAACAAAAGGTTTGAACTCTAACAGTGAGTTGTTGGAGCCCTCTTCCGTAACGCATGGTACCGAACTCTGGTTGAAGTCCCGAAAACGGCAGGCAGCTCCATGCCGAACGGCTTTCCCGCGTGCGCATTCGGGCGGACGAGAGAGTTCAAGTACCACACGCTAAGTGGTTTAAAGGATTTCCTTTAGATCCTGTCATGTTTTGCTAAATTCCGTCTTTGATTTTCAACGTGTTGAGTTTGTGCCACACACAATCCCAACATGAAACAAAAACATAGAATGAATTAAGCAGTGATGAATTCAGACGTCATTCTAGATTAAGCAGCTGAAGTCAGAAACATAATGGAGGCTTTCATCCCCAGCTATCTGGAGTACTTTCACAAAATGCCCAGGGCTGCTAAGGACTAATCCCTTCCACCTATTAAAAAACACGGCCCCCCCCCTCGCAATAAGGAAACCTCGGTCACATTTTGTCTCATAGGGGGTCCCTGAAATGGGGGGGGTCCAAAATAGGGTCACCTGGGAAGAGCTTCAAAACCAAAAGTAACTCATGAAAATTTTATATAAACTCCTTTATTAAACTCGTATCAAAAATTCAATAAACCTCCAGAGCGAAGGGTCTTCCTTTTCCCCTACAAAAACCTTTATTAGAATAGTGATTCTTCAGTAGACTAACAGCTAAAGCTTTCGAAAGGTGATGTCGCTGTGCCATGCGGTTTTGCATGACCTCGGTGGCAAGTGCGTTTGCGTGAGTCCGTGCCATTGGGGGAAGGAAAGCCTGCTGGTGTAAGCGCGGCGTGTCATGGTGGATAGACAGCGCATCTTTGTTCATCTGTTTCGGATGTTTTTTCGGACACCACCGCTAGGGGTAGGAAGTGCTATTTTTAGGGTTTCGGTTCATGTGTTGTTTTTTTGCAGGAGCCACCACTCGGGCTTGGTTTTGAAATCGCTGAAAAAAGACACCCTTTCGCATAGTCCAACAGGGGTAGTTGAAGACAACACATCGAGATTAACCACCAAGAACAAGAACAAGAACAAGAACAACAACAACGAGAAGAGCAACACCGGCAGCAGCAACAACAGCAACAACAAGAACCAGAATGAGAACAACAACAACAACAACAACAACACCAGCATCAGCAACAACAACAACGATCACACAATTTGACAGCAACAACAGCGACAGTAATGACGACAGCGGCAGCAACAACAGGGACAGCAGCAACAAGAACACACAAGAAACACAACGACGGCAATGATGACAATAAATAAGAAGCACAGCACCAGCAGCAACTAAACAGTCTGGCAGTCTGGCTTTCATCGCCCAGGGCAGCATGCGAGATGCGGATCCTCAACACCTGCAAGACCGTGCGGCATCCACTCCGAGGATGCTCGTTGCTTTGGGGTGCGTGGTGTTGAGACTTTGTAAAGCTCACAAGAGTGTTGCCATTGTAACATTCTACAAACTGACGCAAGCCCACCTGCAACGCGATCTCCCTGTCATCCTGGAAAAATTGTGCGTCGAGTTCCAAGAAGATCCCGCATTGATCCAGAAGATGAGGATTTTGACGGTATGGCAGGTGAAAGGGCAGACGCATACTGCAGCCATCATTTTCCTTCACCGTCGGTCAGTTCCATGGCCGGATTTTCACAAGCTTTGTGTTGACGGTTGACGTTGTCTTGGACTTGGCTTTGTAGATGACACTTGACGTTGTGTTGAAGCTGGCTTGCATGGTCTTTGTTATAGGTTGTAGATGGGAAGTTCAGCTTTGTGTTGATGGTTCACGTTGTCCTGAACTTCTAGTTAGCGGTTGTAGATGAGAACTTCGGTTTTGCGTGGATGCAGGTTGAGTGTGAGTGTGAGCATCTGAGAGCACAAATCTGCACCTTGAGCTTCACGAAGTGCTATCTGAGAGCACAAATCTGCACCTTGAGCTTCACGAAGTGCTTTGCCTGCCACGAAATCTACACTTCGAGATTCAGGTCGGTGAATGACCTTCACCGAGTCCCCCCATATCACTACTAATGCGTACACGGAGTCTGCAACGAGCATGGGGCCACTAGGGTTCCAACAGCAGTGGAGCGAGAGGTGACACTTGGGTTTCCACCTCGTTGCACGGTGCCGTGCACTGGGAAGGCGGACTGTTTTCTCAGCCCCATGGCCCATGACCACATCCCCACACGTACACTTGGTTTGCTGCTGCTTTTGGTCGTGGTTGCTGCGTGCTTCTGCTGCTGCTGGATGCCCGCTTGCTGCTGCATGCTGCCGCTTGCCCGCGTATGCTGCTTTGCTGCCCCTGCTGCTGCCTGCTGCTGCTTGCTTTTGATCGTTTTGCTGCTGCTGGCTTGCTGGTGTTGCTGCTTCTGGTTCGCTGGTTTGCTCGTGGTTTGCTGATGCTGTTTGTTTGCTTGCTGGTGCTCGCTGCTCTGCTGCTTGCTGCGGTTTTTGCTGCGTGCTGCCGCTTCCTGCTTGCTGCGCTGCAGCAAAGCCTCTTGCCGCGGTTTCCTGATGTTGCTGCTGATTTCTTGCTGCTTCTGCTTTTCTGGTTAGCTGCTGGTGTGCTGCGGCTTTGCTGTTGCCTATACCAACGGTCTGTCAATGCATGCCATGGTTTCTTCGTGCGAAACCCACGCGGCAACAATTGCGGCAGCCATGTGTAGGGCCTTAGCGCCGATTCTTTTGCACCAGCTGTTGTTGAACATTTCCTCAGACAGGTCACCCTGACACAGTGAAACTCGAGCGAAACTTGAACACTCCCTAGGGTTCCTGGCCTGAACCCCCTGCCACCCACCCCTGATCCATCTTCGAAACGGAGGGGGCCGGGAACCCTGGGGGACTTCGGGTCCACCTGGCCACCGTGACGCATCTCCATCCACCAACCAAGACGTCGCTCGAGGTACCCGGCCAGTGGGTGCGGAGACACCTACTCAGGCGGCATCGAATGGCGTGTGCTGGGCGCCATGGTGGATGAGTAGGGAGACCAGAAAACCTACAGACCAGGGTGAGCAAGCAAATGGGCAATATGGTCATGTACGCTCTTGAGGAATATATATGACATATCAAATAATTGTATGAACCCCTTCATTTTTGGGGTCTTGACATCAATCAAGAGTCTACAGTACTTGGTATCGACCCCTTTGTTCTTCTCAAAAAGGATATCAATTGCTTTGGGGCGTGTCATAGATGTCTCATTCGGCGTTCCACGGCGGGTGTTTGCGCTGCCTGTGTTGCGTCCATGAGATGATCTTCGCACCAGCAACAAGGCGTTGGAACTAGAGGCATGTCCATGTGGTTGGAACATGCTAGAGTAGGCTGATCGAACGTTTTTTTGCAGTTGTTTGACCAAGAAGCGAACCATCCATATTCCCTGGCAGGTCGTGTTGCCTTCAAATTTGGGTGGTTTGATTCTCCACATGACCGGACCTGTAACTTGCATCTAGTTTATGCCATTCTGTCTAAGTCTTTGCTTCATGTTTCCAGTAATTGGGAAGAACAATGCCCCGCTCCATGCACCCACATGGAAGACATGCATCTATCATCTATCATCTATATAGTCTTCCTATGTTTGTTTGCTTTGGGGGCCCCAGGGCTCGAGATGGCCTGCTTTAGCTGAGAACCCCTAGCTAGGCACGAACTGAAGAAGAATGCGCCAAGGGGGTTGCTTTCTTCTGGCGCCAGCCGCCCTGTGGTCCGACTCTCTTGAGCGACGCCATCGAACGCCCCACCGACTCGTGGCAGAGGTGGACAGATGTCCTTCGGCCCTCCTCCAGGCCGGTGGCCGGTGGCCTCCTACGCCGGGGTTTGATGGGTTATGGGTTTTCAATGGTTTTCATTTCATGGTGGGTCCGAAGATGGCTATAGCGGTACACTTGCACTACCTGTTTTTGTTGGGGGTTCGGGTTATGTTCCTAGGTACATACCAATGAAGTCGGGCCAAGAAAGATTTGCAGCTTCCCAGACCTGTTTTTCTTGGTTATTTGTAATTTGATGTACTGTAACTTGAATTTTGAGGTGGATTAGTGATTAGTGCAGTGGATTAGTTTAGTTGATTGTCTTGACTGGCCGAAGTAAGTCCTCACGGAGAATTTGCATGCAATGAACCTTGAACACATATCCTTAACCCAATACGACTCCACCTCAGAGAAAAGTCATGTGGCTTTGGGGTTGCAAAGAGGTCTAACAGGTTCCATTTTGGGTGAAGCACATGCAGTCAGTTCTTTCTCGGATTGGAGTGGCATTGGCATTGGATGGTAGTGTACTTCTTCAGATATGATGTAGCTGGTTGATCAACATATATATATATATATATATCACGTGTTTTTATGTTCCCTAGCCCATACCCTCAAAAGGTGGTTAGACCCTCCAAACCCACCCCCTTCACAGGATGTGGTAGGAGCCCTAGGGGTTGTGAGTTGTCACTTGTTTTCACCGAGTCACCTCGAATCCTTCTTTGGGTGATCAACCACAGCCCGAGTAGATTGCCCTTTTGTAGTTGTTGATTTGGGATGTGTAGTCTTCAACACCCTTAGCTTAGTAGAGCAATTGGTTCTTTGGACATTCAAAAACCATGATTGTTTCAATCCCAGGGAAATAGTAAAGACCCTGGCTGCAGCTGCCTTCGGACCGCTGGATGGATCTCGGACCGCTCGCGAGGTGTACCAGGCGTTCCTGGAGGTGTTCTTGGAGACCCCATGAGGTACGGACTCCGTAGATGTGGCTGTGGCAAACTGAATCGAAAACCTCAAGCCTTGCGCAAACCATAAAACCATGATATCAGACATACGAGCGGACTGTTCGTGGAACGAATACAGGCCCCTGAAAAATCACGAAGAATCTGATTCGCCAGGCCACATAAAAAGATTACAAACCCTAAGGCTCCAAGTACCTCCTCAGAAGGTATTTGACCCCTTTAACCCCACCCCAAACACCTTCCCAGATGGTACGACTGGAGCCGGGAAAGGCATCGGGGTCCATCATGACCGGATGCCTGGGAGCCATGACCGAGCACCATGACTCGGCTCATATGGAACTGATTTCAACAAGTTCTTCAAGATCATTGGCCCTGCCAGAGGGTCGAACTTAAGGGGTTTTAGGATCCGACCCGAAGCTTTTTAGTCATACCGGATGTTTGTTAGGATCCGAACCTTTGCACAAAGGTCGAACCCTCAAGTTTGCAGAGGTCTGTACCCGTTCAAAACCTCTAGGTGTTTGAGGGTCCGGATCCTTAGACGTGACGAGGCATAATGAAGTTGTGTGAGTTGGACCCTCAAAACTTGTTTGAACTTCTTATGATGACCCGCTCTTTAAGCAGCCCTCCCACAAATTCAAGATCACTTAGATGACTGAATGACTCATGACATCACTGTTGCTCGTGGCTAGTGCATTACCCTCAGAGATTTGTCCGCTACACCTATTGCCACGTCATGCTTGAAAGACATACTTTGTGTAGCTACTGTGCATGGTTTTGGGTCGAGCCTGATGATGATGATGATGATGATGATGATGATGATGATGATGATGATGATGATGATGGTGATGGTGATGGTGATGGCGATGACTGAGATGCTCCATGTTGTTCCACTGATTTCCACACCTCAACGGTTCCCAAGTCCACTGAGGGAATCTTCAGTTCTTGGTTGGTTGAAAGGGGTGATCCCGAATGGGTTGAAAAGGCGGCTGGATATGTCGAAATCCACGTGCACTCTCCAAGTTGGGAGGTGGGAGTGGAAGGCGCAGGGGCCAAGGCTTCTCAAAGTCCCTAGACCTTGATGAAGTCAGGAGATGACCTTGGAGTCTGTTTATTGTTTTGGGGGGGGGAGGGGATTGGGGACACCCTTAACAACCCTTAACATGAACATGTGGAAAGTTGGGTGAACGGTGGTGAATGTCAATGTTCGTCAGGACCCGAGTCCTGGGGATTTCAAGGGATTTGAGTCGCAGAGTCCCAGGCGCTGACTCGAAGGGCGAACCGTTGCCATTTATACTGACAGGATATTCAGGCGTTTGCTGGGTTTTTGTTTGGCATTTGAGCTAGAAGTTCTCCCATATCTTTCTTTCTCCATGCACGAGAGTTGGCAGTTGGAAAAACGGACTCCTCCACCTGTACCTCCAAACCTTTCCGGCCGAAGCGTTTTCACAGCTCAAGCTCGGTGAAGCTGGGCACCGGCAGAGAAGTTGCTGCGCCACATCGTGCCACCATGAGGCTGGACCACGGCGGTGTGTCTTGGTTTTTTCCCGCTTCGGAAAGGCTCCGTCACGGAAATAACCCTATATATAGGGCGGCCAGGGGCCGCCAGGGGTGGTTTTGGGGGGTCGAAGACCACCGAACCGCCGAACCGGAGGATGCCCGAAAAGCAATGGAGGTCCGGAGCCCTCCGTGTAGGTCAAACAGTAAGGATCGGAAGCTCCCACGATGATTCGGAAACCCTCAAGCCTCGAAGGGATCCAATGTTGAGCTATGACGCTTCGCGGCTCTATGGCTGTGACTCCGGAGGAGGTCCTGTGTGTTGCGATACCGCCAGCAGCCAGCATCGGTTTTTCAGGACCCGAGTTCGGACTATCCCATAGGTACCCCGGATGAGGTCCTATATATTAGATCTTCCAACTATGCAACATTTATGCCTTTGGGCTGGTTCTATGGATGAAAAGGTAGAAATTTGTGTTGAAGATCTATAGGCCGGTATGGTCACTTAACCTCTTGGTAGACCCGACCCGACATCCTTCGACCTCCGGATCAGTGTCCGACCTGACCTTCCGGCTACAACCCGCCCCGCCCCTCTCGGGCTCGAGACGTGTCCTCGCCGCACCGCTCGGGTTCGAGTGGGAGGTTCTCCTTTACAACGCCCTTAGCGGCGTTGTCCGCCTCCTTCATGACCTGGTACCTGATGGATCAGAATGCCGAGCACACAGGTGCTTTTCGGACCGGACGAGGTTCGGTTCGCTGGGAGATCCATAGACTGAGCTGGGATGCCGAAGAATCAAGTGCAGGCCCTATAGAGAATCGAATAATGTAAGGCCCAGAAAGATATTGGTTTGCATATTTGAGACAAAAGGAACATGAAAGGAAAGGAAAGCTGAAAGCTCAGAATCAGCTTGGATGAATCAAGGTTTGGAAGCAGCTGAAAATCATGGTCCAGAAAAAAAGGTATAATTCTGGGTCCATTTGTAATTGGTTTTTGAAAAAGGTTGGTATTATTCATGGGCCATTTACAAATCAGAGGTTCACATTAATCACACAATTTAGGACCGAAGTGAAGGTTAAAGAAGACCCGGGAGAGGCACCAACCAGTGATGAAGCTCTCATTGCCGCCGGGGTGTATTCGATGACAACTTGGCTTGCTGCAGCACTCTTGGCAAATCCAACAGTGGCCCTACAAGCACTGGGTCGCATGCAGGGATTTGTCACTGCTTATCTTCAGTCGTCGTGCAAACGAGGTTGACGGCAACAGCCCTCATCTGTCATGAGTTGAAGGATGCACGCTGGCTGACTCAGGAGGAGCAGGAAACCTGGGAAGTTTACGGCCAAGCAAACGAAACATTGGGATCAACCCAGATTCCAGTAACAGATCGACGCTCTTGTGCTGAAGGAGTTGAAGATGCGAATCGCAGCAAAGAGTTCACCACAACAGTTTGCTTCATCCAACAGGGCACCAAATCTGGAACGGTTCAAACTCACACTACCCGCATTCAGGACTGGCGGGCGTCGTGGGGGTGGCCTATAGATTTGGGGAAGTGATCGTTTCACCAAGGTGAGCTCTCCCTGTTTGGGATCTGAGCATATCACCAAGTCCTTGCTTCAGTGTTGAGAATCTGAAGGGTTGCTCGATTAAGCTACATGTCAGTCTATTACTCATCAAGACTTGTAGGCCCTTTGCCTTCTCGCCGGTTGCGCTTCTCCGCGGCTGCATGGAAGCGGGGTGGGTGACAGGACACGGCAGCTCGGTCCCTGACACTGTGGACCGGACTCGGGGGCTCGTGTTCCTCTGGGCGCACGACCTGCCCCGCCTTGGGCTCCAGGTCAACACCAAAAACGACCAAAACTTCGTCCTCAGAGCTACTCTCTCAGTTCCAAACGTCGCTTTCTGACCGCAGTAAAAATCCTCTTCTCCTCTTCTCTTCCAGAAGCCATTCTCTCACCTCCCACGGGTCTTCTGGCTGGTACCAGCGATCTTCCTCGCCACGCTTTCCACAATCTAATTCCACGCAAAAAACAACCAAAACTTCATCCTCAGAGCTGCTCTCTCAGTGCCAAAGGTTGCTTTCTGACCGCAGTAAAAATCCTCGTGCAATCCTCTTCCAGAAGCCGTTCTCTCATCTTCCACGGGTCTTCTGGCTGGTAGACACCTGCTCCCAGCGATCTCCCTCGCCCCGCTTTCCACAATCTAATTCCACGCAAAAAACAACCAAAACTTCATCCTCAGAGCTGCTCTCTCAGTGCCAAAGGTTGCTTTCTGACCGCAGTAAAAATCCTCGTCCAATCCTCTTCCAGAAGCCGTTCTCTCATCTCCCACGGGTCTTCTGGCTGGTAGACACCTGCTCCCAGCGATCTCCCTCGCCCCGCTTTCCACAATCTAATTCCACCCTAAAAACGATCCAAAATTCGTCCTCGGAGCTGCTCTCTCAGTGCCAAACGTTGCTTTCTGATGGCAGTGAAAGATTTATCTTTACAGCCATCTTTCGTCTCTCTCTCTCTCTCGACTCTACTTCCTGGACAGCTACAGAGGCTCACTCACTCCCAAGGCTCCCACCCATCTCATCCGCCACGCTCCGTGACTGCCAAACGTTGCTTTCTGACGGCAGGATAGAGCAGTGTTGCAGCGCCCTGTTCGGAGACCCCGACGATCTGCTCCGCCGCAGCGGTGGACCTCCTGCTATTACAGCCGGCAGGGTCGGCCTCGTGCGTTTTGCGCCCGCACGAAAGGCAGTCTGCGCCCCCAGCCAGAGGCATATCTAGCTATTACAACTAATGCCAAAATGTTGCAAGCGTGCACATAACCTGAAGACCTGCAGCTCCGGCGCAACGATGTCCGTCCGGTGTCTATCGTTTACTAAACGAAGTTGAACCTCTGTGAACACGCACTTTTTCATCGCAAAAACGACCAAAACTGAGCGTTGCTTTCTGACAGCCGGATGCAGCAGTGTTCTCGATCTGACGCGCTCCCCCGCCATCGGCTGGGGTCGGCGGATACTGCCGTCAGAAAGGACCGGCAGACCCGGTGATTCTTTGGCGCGCTCCCCCTGTCGCAGGGGTCGGCGGACTTTTTGTCTTGCAGGCTCCCAAAACAGAAGTCCAATCAATTCCGAAGGCGTTTTTCTCAGCTTGCTGGACTGAACCCAGTTGTCCCCTCAAAACAGCTCATGCAGGGTCGATATCGATCGATCCAGCAATGAAGGTGTCACACGGCGGTTCCAGCTACTTTTCGTCGGAAATCATGGGAAAACTCCAACGTGCACATGCGATATGAGTGCTTCTGGATGTAACGGTGACTTCGAAGATGACTAGCAGAAGGTGGAAATTGGTGTGAGCAATGTGAATATGAACTGCAGATACCTGCAGTGATTTTTTCTTTGATGACCTACTACAGGGCATCCTCCAGCGGGTCTCCAGCATGGTGCGTTGATTGGAGACAGTGACCTGTCGGGTGTTACCAAGTTTTCAGACTTCCCTCCTTCAAGACACACGCCCCAATAACTTCA